ACATTTATGAGTTATTTATTAAATTTATATGCTACTTACGGCAAATGTTACAATAACACTTGTTAAAAATCAGAATAAATGTCATATTGTTATTTTTATAAACTAATATAAAACAGCTGTTTTTTGTGCTCCGTATATCTAGTGTTAATACCACAAAAAGTACTATACATAGAATAGCATCTAGTTTCACGCTAGAATACCCCGTTTAATATCTTAACCGTCTCCAAACAATTCGGTATTTTATGTGATGTGAAATACCTATGAGTGAAGATGTATTTTCGAAATCATTGTAAACCCCAACAATTAACCCCTTAACGTGCACGCCCGAGTTAACTCGAGCGCGCTAAACTGGTCAAACTGTGCACACTTGAGATAATTCGTGCGGCGTTGTACTTTATGTTGCTATAATTTTTCACACTCGAATGCAATCGAGAATTGAAAATAACAATGTGAAAGCAAAAAGAAAACAGTCGTTTTATTGATATTTATCATTTACATGGGATTGTAAGCTATAACACTTACTTATTCAAGTATAAAATATATCCTTTTTCTACTTATCGCTTACGACTTGTCTCTTCCTTGTGAGCCGCTTTCCGACAGCGTATTCAGATTCAGATTCTGATTCGCTCATTTTTCAATATATATTTTACTAAAATATAATGTAAAATAAAATATAAATAATAATATATATAAATATAATAATAAATATTATAAATACTAGTATTGTGTTATTATTTATGTTTTAAAAGTATAAATAAATATTTTTACTGATAATAATGTTTATTCTGAAATGGGAATTCGAAAAGAAAGATAAAAAAAGTCGATGTGTGTGCGTGTAATATTACAATATTCGATTATTTTCTGCAATGTTATCAAAATCCAAAATTCCAATAAAAATTTTGATTATTTTTGTATTTTTGTAATTTTCTTGCCAAGACAACGTTCTAAATTGGGCTTTTTTACATTAAAAAAAATTGATTTTTTTTTGGCCGGCCTTTTTAAAAAAAAACTGTGCATTAAAGGGTGAAATATACTTAACGGATACAGAGGTACAATAAGTTCTCCTTAATTGATGCTCAGCTTGTACACAAAAATGGACAATTTGGGAAGAGGAGACACGATTATTCGAGCCTTGCGGTTCATTTTTATAGTTACCGATTGTCAAGGACTATAAAAACGAGCCGCGAGACTCGAATAATCGTGTCTCCTCTTCCTAAATTGTCCATTTTTATGCACAAGCTGAGCGTCAGTCGGGGAGAATTTACTGTATTCGTAGCGCGGAAGTTTTGGGTTCGTGATGTCAGACTGTTTACAAATATAGGGGGCCTTGACTTTTAGTCTCGTTCGACATATTGTATATTACAATTTATAATTATGCGAAATATTGCATTGGCGGCGATGATTAGTGCTCAAAATGAACCGTAGAACCAAAGAAGTTTTCATAGCTGTACTAAAAGCAAGTCGACTGCGCAGTGTATCATAAAAACTTACTAATGAATAAGTAACATAAACGAGCTCCGAGAAAGTTCGTCGCCTGTGACATAACGGCAATAAATGGCCCAAAATTGGCAACATATGTTAAGATGAGATATGTTAATACAAAATGAATGTAGAAAAATTGTAATGTTTTATGACTAAACGTCTCGAATGATGGAATACATTGGGAGAAATTGTTTATTATTATAAGGTAGCGATCGCAATTAGATTTGTTTGTTGATTAGTTTCTGTTTAACTTTCTCAATCATAAATCTGTAATTTTATTTTAATTTTCGTATGCAATTATTAAGAAAATTAGTTGTGGAAAATAGCATACATTTTCAACTTTCAGAATCTGTCTTGCTCTGACCATAAGAATTATACAAGTGATTGTCACGCAGAAAGATTCTGTGGACTCTCCTTAATACAACAATATATTCTTGTGCAATATTATAAACATTTAAACACGTTCAAACGTTGTTGAAACTGAAACGGGACACCTTCGACGCCGAAATTCTGTCGGATATTTTTCAATGATATTTTCAAAATGAAAGATTTAAAGCAATATATAAATGCATCACATAAAAGAGCGCAACTTCTTCCTCAGAGACCATCAAGAAAAGTTAAGACGCAGATTTCGTTTTCGATTGACCAAATAAAAGAGTTTCGCGCGAAACGAGTTATCACCAGTCAGCCATAATGCCAACAGTCACCTCGGATTCACCGTAACATTTATGCTGGAATATTTAGTGTCAGAATCTCGAACGGTTGTTCAAACAAATATCTAACAAGTATTAACGTAGCGGACTTAGTCTAGTGCGTATATCATTCTGTAAACGAGTGCAATGAATGTATCGCAATCATCTGGTCTTGAGAGACGCAGACAATATATAGACTAGATTGTGGATTTTTATGCAAAGTAAAAATTTTCTAGATTAGCTCTTCGACTGCTGCGTCACCCGTATATGCGGTTATTTAAAATTTATTTAAAATTTATTTAAAATTTATTTAAAATTTATTTTAATAATTATTTAAAATTTAATTTCTATGCTAATCCATAACAAAATTTCTTAATTGTATTAAGATTCGCAAGAGGTATATATAAGAATATTGAAATAGTAATCGGTGTCATATAACTTTGCTTTGCAAGTTTAATTTAATTGATTAAAATACTTTAATTCTATGAAATTTTGAGATATTTTCGGCGTGGCCGTCAATTTGTTAATTGCAGGTCAATTTGTCATTTGGTCTCCTCATTTTTGTCATAAGTGCATAAAATCCTCGTGAAATGCAGAACTCTTTTCTTTTGTTAATAAAAATTGAAATCAACTTTCCCACTTTTTTTACGATTTCTAATAGAAAGAGAGGCACTTTCGCCTAATCTACGATGGATGAAACGCGCGTTTCAGGATGTATATACATGTGTGCTATTATACATATGCACAGAATACGCATTGTTTTCGCGCATACGTCGTTTAAACAAAATATCTTAATTTTAAAAATAAATGGAACATAATTGAAAAAAAAACTGATGCGTTAAATAGAACTTGCGCTCTTTAAATGTTGTTTAAACACGTTTAAATGTTTATAACGTTAGAAAAAAATACACCGTTGTATTTGAGAGAATCGTCAGAATTATTCTATTCAAGAACCAAAACAGTCAAAATTCTTAAAGTTGGAAATTTTACTTTTCTGAAATTACAATCTACATTCTATTTTCAAAATATGCACAACACAGTATCGTAAGGCGCAAGGTAAGCCACATCGGCAATGGTAAATAAAGTAGTGAACACTGGTATGGTAATTACAAGCAACCGGTCATGGCGCAAGCGCGTCCAATGTCGATCATGAAATAAGTATCATTTCTTGCGTCCTCTCACGAGAAAACTATCGTACATTTATGTGTATCCCAATAACAAATTTTACCCTTTTAATGATAAGCACAAACGTGAGTATTTTTTGCAAAAAGTTGCAAGAAATTGTTTGTTAATTTCAAATGTGCATTATTTAACATTGTTGTTGTTTCAAGTGGATCGATATTATTTTTATTTTCAAATAACAGCATTGAAAATAACGGTTCCAAACGAATCATTTCATACAGTTATTCCTTATTTTTATTTCAAATAAAATTTTCCCAGGTCGCAACTATAAAGAAAATACCGGTCTATAATGTTTTAGTCAAATTATTTTGACAAATAGTTTTGTCAAAATCGGATAATTAGCGTTTTTACCTTGTGAATATCATTGCATGGACATTTCCTTTGTAAGTTGAATGAGATCATAATAAATTATATTATAATAAAAATTAATTAATAAAAAATAAAAATAATTAATAATTATTATTTATACAAAATTAATTATATTATATTATATTATATTATATTATATTATATTATATTATATTATATTATATTATATTATATTATATTATATTATATTATATTA